ATATCAAAATGTATATGACATATATCCAGTAGTTTTAGCATAATTGTTTCTCTTGGAAAAGAGAGAGAAGGAAGGGATGAAAAAGTGGGTCGTTAACCATCTCTCTTGGGGTGTATTTCATAAGCTATCTGAAGCTCAGATATCTAGTTAGTATCTGTTTGAGCTTAATACTGGGTATGCAGCTATTATATTTTCCTTATTATTTTATTCTATTTTTAGTTAAAATTTTGTTTTGAACTGGAATCTTGCTATGTTTCTTAGGCTGGCCTCAAACTATTAATCCTCCTGCCTTACTCTCCCAAGAAGAGGGGGTTACAGGCATATGTCACCATACTCAGCTTATTTTCTTTATTTCTAAGTGTTTAAGGTGTTTGATAAATGGAACATTAACAATTAAAACATTGGATTTGTGTGTGTACTGGGAATGGAACCCAAGGTCTTGCACATGCTAGCAAGGTCTCTACCACTGAATCACAACCCCAGACCTACGTTTCAGAGCTTGTTAAAGGTGAGTTGGACATGTAGCTCTATGATAGACTGCTTGCCAGATTTCTTGCCTAGCATCTTCAAAGCCCTGGGTTGGATCCCAGCACTGCCCTCTCCATTTGTTTGTTAAGAACAGTGTACTGTGACTAAACTAAAAATAAACATGGAAACTTCTGGTGCTCTTCCCCCACCCCTTTTTTTGGTGGTACTGGGCTTTTAACCAGGCCTCAAGATTAAGGTCATCTAATTAGAAAGGGGAATGTTTCCAATTTGCACTGTACTGCTGCCTCTGCCCTATTATTTTGTTCTTTTCTTTGGAGGAGAGGGGTTAAATTTCCTTTACTCTTTATGGTCCTCATTTTCTCTTGACTGCCAATTTTTTTCTTTTTGGAGAAAGATCAAATTATTTTTTAAAAAGTGGGTCCAACCATTACTGTTATATTTTTAAATTCCTACATGACATACTGTGTAATTTCCAGTTCTTCTTGGTTGTGATTGTGGCCCATAGGTGTTTTTTTTCAATAATCAAAATTCCCCCACCCCCCGCATCCACTTCTTAAATAAAATAGCTGGACTATCTTAATAAATAGCCTGTAATCTCAGCACTCAGGAGACTGAGGCAAGAAGATCACAAATTTGAGGCCAGCCTGGGCTACATAAGGGGACCCTGTCTCAAAAAACAAACAACAAAACAAAAACAAAAAAAGCAGAAAGATAGTACAGGAAAGAGCAGGGACTGGGCATAAGCAAGGACTTCCTCAGTAGAACTCAAGTGTCTCAGCAACTAAGAGAAAGGATCGACAAATGGGACTACATGAAATTAAAAAGCTTCTGCACAACAAAAGAAGTGGTCTCTAAATTAAAGAGGCCACCCACAGAGTAGGAGAAAAATTTTTGCTAGCTATATATCAGACAAGGGACTGATAACCAGAATATACAGGGAGCTCAAAAACTAAACTCCCCCCAAAAAATCAATGACCCAATAAAGAAATGAACTAAACAGAACTTTTTAAAGAAGTCCAAATTGCTATAAAAAATAAACCATGAATAAATGCTCACCATTCCTGGCCATAAAGGAAGTGCAAATCAAAACCACTCTTAAGATTCCACCTCATCAAGAACACCAGCAACAACAAATGTTGGCAAGGATTCAGAGAAAAAGGAACTCTTGTACACTGCTCTTGGTAATATAAGCTAGTACAACCACTATGGAAAACAATATGGAGACTCCTTAAAAAATTAACAGTAGATCTGCCATATGATCCAGCAATACCACATTCCCAAAGGAATGTGAGTCAGGTTATACAAAGGCACCTGCACACCCATGGTTACTGCAGCACTATTTACAACAGCTAAATGATGGAAACAGCCACGAGGACCTATTACTGACAAATTGATTAAGAAAATGTGGTATTTGTACACAATGTAATTTTACTCAGCCACAAAGAAAAATGAAATTTTGTGATTTGCAGGTAAATGGATAGAACTGGAGAACATCACCTTAAGTGAAGTTAGGCTCAGAAGGCCCAAAATCACGTGTTCCCTCTCATGTGTGAATTATAGACCTAAAACAAATGCAGCTATATTCCTGGACGTGGGTCACACTAAGGGGAGACTATGCACACACAGAATAAGACAAGGAAAGGAAACCAAAAACTTGAATGTAGTTAATGTGCTCACTGTATAGAAACGAATATAGTAATCTTAAACTGGCTGAGGCCACTATGGGAAGGGGGAGTAGGGAGTAGTGAAGAGGACTGATAGAGATGAACCAATATGGGTTGTAATACATACATGCATGGAAATAGCACAAGAATCTCCCTCTATAGCTATCTTTATCTCAAACTAGCAAAAATCCCATGTTTTTCTTATTTTATGCTTTTTCTTCTACAAAAATCAGAGAACAGAGAGCTGGAGCATGTTCTGCCCAGAGGCAGGGAAGATGGGGGTTGGGGGTGTTTGGTAGGGGGCGTGGAGCAGGGGAGGTGGCAGGGAAAGGGGTAGGAGGATGAATAGGGTGAAAATAATATATACACATGTATGTAAATGCAAAAATGATACCTGCTGAAACTGTTCCAGGAATTGGGGAATGGGGATGAAAGAGAGCAGTGGAGGGGGTGATTGCAAGTACCAAATATTTGATACATTGTAAGAACCTTTGTAAATTCTCCAGAGTACCCCTACCTAGCACAACAATAGTAAAAAAAAAAAAAAAAAGAAAGAAGTTAGGGTGTGTGTACACCTGCAAGTGCTCATTCTAGATTTTGTTCTACTAGTATAGTAGAGATTTAAGGAGTTATTTTCAGTATTTTTTTTGTACTTAGAAACCAAGAAGAGTATTACTGTTTTGGTTTATTTAATATGCTATAATTCTGAAAAGGGTGGTGGGCTTTTTTCAGTTTAAATACCTCTGCACGTCATTGAGAGATTTAGAACAAAAGATTGCATTGTAATTAGCTACTAACTTTGATTACTGGAGTTTTATTTTAAATAGTTCTGATGTGTGTATAACTACAATTAGATTATTGGTACCAAATTCCCTTAGTTAAATTGAACATGTTTCAGGAGGCATGTAAATGAAAGTAGCTGGAACTTTCTTCTAAGAACTGGGTACAGACTGGGCACTGTGGCCTTTGTCTGTAATCCTAGCTATTGGGGAGATGGAGGCAGGAGGATTGCAAGTTCAAGGCCAACCCAGGTCATAATCACTCACAGGTGAGGTGGTCATTCGAGAGGCAACAAAGTAGTGATTAAAGAGTTCTGATGTGGAGCCAGATGGCTCCATCTTGGAAACCCGTCTCTGACGTTTACTGTTTGTGGAAACGCAGCAAGTTATCTAACTCCTAGGTATCTGTTTATCTGTAAAAGAAATCATGTTATCTACTTCTCATGTTCTTATGAGGACTAAGGAATGAAAATAATAAACTCTTTAAAGACTGTGGTCACTGGTATTACTACCCTGTTACACACTTAAGGGGCCGACATTAGACAAGTAACTGCGATAAAGCAGGGCCTTGCACTTGAGGATCAAGTGCTCCACCACTTGATCCTCGGCCCCAGCCACTTTGTGCTTTAGTTTTTTATCAGATAGGTTATCATGTTTGTTGCCCATGCTGGGCAAGGACCAAGGTCCTCCTACCTATGCCTCCTGCTTAATAGATGAGTTTTATAACCGGGTAAGTTCAGTGTTCTATCACTGTATATGTTGAGGTGACCACTTAATTATTGAAAAAATTAATTCAGCTTTTGGAATGTCTGGGTTTTGTTTAAAATCATACTTTCAGAGTTTCTTAAATCAAACCTTACTCATTTTATAGTTTACATTTACAGAATTTATTACTCAGATGAGATAAGTGTGTAAAGGTTCCAAGGAATTATGTAAAGATGATACTGTCATCCTGGTAGTATCATTACTGTCGTTACATACTAGGTCAACAAAAAGGAGTAGAATCAATCCTCTTTTAGCAATAGCGTCTAGATAATCAAAATAAAATCTGTCTTCCAGAATTTTACAGGAGAGTTTGGGTAGCTTTGAATACGGAGTATAGTATTTGATACCTATTAGAACAGAAAATTCTGAGTACAGCTGATTTCCATATATAGTGGGGACAGTTTTCTTTAATGGTAAACAAGGGTTAAAGTGAATTTTCAAGTATAAAGTGTTAAAGACGCCTTTGTAAAAGCTTAACTAGCTTAAACCTGGTATTGATAGTTAGGCATTTGTCAAAGGGTCTTTCACTTCTTAACTTCTTAGTATCTTTCACTTCTTAACTATGAGATTTTAGGAACTCAGATAGTCTTGCATTGGATTAAAATAGATTCTTACCTTTATGTTTCCTGGGTCATGATGATGGGAAGTGAAAGACCAATTATTTTTATTTGTTAACATAATTTACTTATTTCATAATATGAGAAAACAATTTTATTTAAGCTAAATAGTTGTGAGAAATGTCACTTGTTATGAGAAATCCCTTTGTTTCTTGGCAATTTGAGTTGGAGGCAGAAGTTGGCATTTGAGAAAAATGAACAGTAAGAGGATCAGCACTTAGTAAGCTCTTCTGGACTTGTACCCAAGTGAGGAGCACCAGCCTCTTCCCTTGGGGCGGCTGCCACAGATCTACCCATCAGAATGTGGCTGATGGCCTATTGCTTTGCTTTATTCCTAATTTATGCTTTAGTGGGAGTATAAACTGCAGTGATACTTGAAGAAATTGAAGCAATATATTTTTAGAAATTACAGATTTTAGAAACCTAACTTGTTTATTCAGGAGGAAAAACAAAGATTTAGTTTTTACTTGGGTTCTCTCTGATAGAGATGCTTCTACCATTTGAGTCCACATAATAAACACCAATCGTAGTAATCGTGTGTATCATCTGTAGGTTTATTTAAACATGAGACTTTAGACATTTTAGACTGATCAAGAGAACTGATTCTCTTCACAATTATAAAAATACTGAAATGTCTGAGATTGTTTGCTAACAGGTAAGCTCACATTCCTTTCATTTTCTTCCAGATTCATGAAAAACTCCACTACTATGAGAAGCAGAGTCCGCTGCCCATTCTCCGTGGCGCTGCAGCCTTGGCTGATGACGTAAGTTTGCCTTTCTGAGTGCACGTGTCTGCTGCATGCTTGGCGAGGCTGAGCTGTCCTACTGCACAGATGTGTGCAATGCCCTGTGTAGAAACCAGAAGTTACAAATGTTTCCAAAAGCCCTGTCATCGCCCATCTTATACTGATGTTATGTTGATTTTCATCCACTTTCTTGTTCTGAAGTTTGTGCATGTAGCTGCCCGCCTGTTATGCCTTGGTAACTACGTAACAGAAATTTAAGCTTCCAACTGGAGAGGGAGAAGCTGTCAGGTTATTAGTGTTCTGTGAAAGTCACAGACAAGGGGAATGTTTTGGAGAAATAAAGACAAATGGGATAGTTATATTGCTGACAGTACTAAAAAATGACAGGTACTAGGATGGGAATGAGACATACGAAATACATAAAAAGACAATATTGTTTTTAAAATGGATTGTGAAGCATAGTAATGATTTATGGATATTAGACCTTTCCAAATTACCTTCATAACCAAAAAGTAAACTTTAGAAGCATTGGCATTGATGGAGTACTTAATTTCCTGTAGCTATAATTTTATTTTAAGCCTGGGGGAGGGGAACTGACTTGCTGATTCCTGCTGTTAACTCTCGGACTCGGATGAATTGAGAGCACACCTGGATAAACTATAAGGACACTCAGCTAGTGAGAAATGTGCTTAGTATGTGGTAAGATACCCTGGAATTTATTTGTCGCTTTTTAATTTTTTCCTTCATTGTCATAAAGCACACTGCAATTTGGTTTAGTAAAATGTTAGGGCCATACCATAATATGAGAAAAATTAGCCCTCTTTAGAAGTTGATTTTCTTTGATTGCATTTTACATTTTAATGTACAAAGTAAAGCATATGAAATGAATATCCAAGTTGTGTGCTATTTGCTTTATCTACAATCATGTTCCTTATATTTTTATCTACAGATATTCCAAGCATTCCTCAAAGCATGTTTAATGAGAAAGCTTGTTTCTCATTATAGAACCAAAATCTTTGAAATTAAGGCAAATAAAGGTGTAAATACAGTTCCATGAGTAAGCTGCAGTTATCATTTAAAATAGGCTTAAAACCCAGTTTTCAAATGGTTAGTATTGAGGGTTTTGTGAAACATTTATGTAAAAACCATTGTAACTAACCCCCAAGCATAATACAACAATATTGTTTTTAAAAAAAATTAGAATGTAAACCAGGAGATTCATTCAGTAGTAGATTGCTTACCTAGCATGTGTGAGGTCCTGGGTTCGATCTCTAGTGCCAAAAATAAATAAATAAAAAAGAAAAGAAAAAAGTAATTATGATAAACTTCAAAATTTCATCAAAACAATGTATTTAAATGTTAAATGTATTTATAGTAGGTAACTATAAAGAATATGAAGAGCCTTTTGTGTCTTTGTAAGTTAAACATTCTGTTAACATGTTACCTTGAAAAAGTAAAAGCGATTTTTTAATGTAATTAATTAATCTTTCCATTTTCTCTGATTTTACTTTCTCTTAAAGAAAAAGTCCTTTGGTTCCAGTAGAGAAATAAACCATTAATTTTCTGTTTGGTAGGATCAGTAGAGGCAAATGGAATTTTCATGTAATGATTTAAGAGGGTTCTTAAATAAAAATGGACTTACATATTTTGAATTATACACTGCGTAATTCATAATTCTAATCTTTATTCCTGTTTGAGTCTTGCTTTTCTTCTTATAACTATTCTGTGACCCTTCCTATAGCCTAAAATTGCATAGAAATTTTAATAGGAATATCTTTTAATTTTTATTTTATTATTTACTGGGAGTAATGATTGTATACATTGGTGGGATACTGTATGATTCTAATTTATGTATGCACACACACACACACACACACTTTGTAATGAATCATTTATTTGTGGTGAGAACATTCAAAGTCTCTTAATGGAGAGCATGAGGCAGTTAAAAGTTTCAATCTTTTCTTTAGATAGAGCCAGCAAATGGGAATTCTTGATCATTATAATAAAGTACAGTCAGCATTTCTGGTACCTGAGTAATTTTCTAACAATTATGGGTTTATGATTAACTTGGTTTATATTTAACAGACTTCTCAGTCTGTGTAAGTAAATATAGTAAAAGTTTCAGGTCATTTACTCTTATTAAGACCATTCTAGTTCTTTTTTACCCCAGTTCTAAACAGCACAGCTACTGTGGGTTTTTGGAAACCCTGCGGATTTCACCACCTCATTCAGAAGCTCCTTGTCTTTTTTTGTATGGTGTTAAAGTTTGATCCAGTCCTTTTTACAAATAGTCCTTTGTCTGCATGCAAAAGACCGTTCATTCATGCAGATGAAGTGCTGGGATATGCCCTCCCTGCAATAAATCAGAAGGTGATCTGGATGATAAGATTACTCCAGTTCTACTTAGCCCCGAGCCAGGGCTTGTATCTCATCTACAATAGGCCTAAAAAGAAGAGCACTGATTGCTGGTCTAGTTCCTTCCATGTTCACTTCTCCCATAACACTGGAAAGTAATAATCTTGAGCAAAATAGATTTTAAGTTGTGACACACCACACTTCATAGTGTTCCTGCTAAATGAAACTTATGTTGATGTAATTTCTCTTGCAGCTGGCTGAAGAGCTTCAGAACAAGCCATTAAGCAGTGAGATCAGAGAGCTGTTGAAACTACTGTCAAAACCCAACGTGAAGGTGAGGACAAGTTACACCTGTCATAAATACCTTCTACAAGACCACTTTCAGAGCCATCCGATGAACTGTTACAAGCATCAGTTTTCAAGTACTTTTGCTTTCAAATAGTGCACAGTATGTTAATAGCCTAAATCCTGTTAAGAAAAAGCAATTTTTTTCTAAATTATAGAGTATTTTCTAAATTATAATGTGATAAACTACACAGTACTTCAATTAGAATTTGAGTTGGCAAATATAATGCAGCTTCAGGTTATTTTCCTTTTCAGTGACGTAAGAGTACAGAACATAAGGCCTTCTAGTTGTGTTTACGTCACTTGGCCTGTTCATGGCATTTCAGTGTATTTGACAAATATATCTATTTTTCTGTGAGATTATTTCAGTATTTCTGTTCTTCTTTCCCTTTCCATCTCCTATTTTCTGTCCTTCTTACCAATTCATGTTTCAAAATATCATTCTATTTTGTAGAACAGAGCAGTTTTCCAGTGGAAATTGCCTGTAAAGTATTGGTGGACAGACGTCAATTCTCCCCTGCCCACCTCCTTCTTGATATTAAGGACCAAGTATGCCGTAAGATTAGAAGCTCCAACAAGATTTTTAGATAAGGCTCTGAAGATTTCTTCATCTGGTGTTAGACTGCATGTAACAAGTTAATGTCAACCAGCGCAGTGTGAGGTGTGCTGTGAGAAGCTTATGGAATTCCTTTCTGAGATTATCTTGGTTCAAGAATATGAGAAATTAGAGAATATTTCAGACAAAAGATATTTTATTATTCTGCTCACCAGTGTTTGAAATGAAATACCTAATAAAAAATTATACCAGATGAAAAGTGATATTTGGCTGTAGAGGGAGATACCCTATAAGGTATTATCACTATCCATTTGAGATTATAATAATTAAATAGTTAAATTTATTATGTGGAAAATATCTTAGATGGATGATTTATTTTTATATCTATATAGCAGCATAGTAGAACAATGGGTGGGAAGTTAGCATGACAGGTGTATATTCAAGAAATATGTGTAGAAAGTGGATGAAATTCCAGATGCATGATGCTTCAGTTGGCAGTGGCAATATATGATTAGCTAGTCTTGGGAAGAAAGTATCTTCCTGGTTTTTTGTTTGTTAATTTTTATTGTTGTTTTGGTTTGGGATTTTTTGGGAGTTTTTTGGTAGTTTTGGGGTTTTGAACTCAGGGTCTCACACTTGCTAGGCAAACACTCTACCAGTTGAACTGTACTCTCAGGCCCTTTTTGTTTTAGTTTGTTTTTCAGATACATTCTCACACTTTTGCCAGGCCAGCATCTGACCACCATCCTCTTATCTCCACCTCCGTTAGTAGCAGAAGTTACAGGTGTGAGCAACCTCTGACTATCTTTTGTTTTTGACTTATTTAACTTTGCTGTCCTTGAAATCTTTTATATTAACTACCATCACTTTGTCTCTTCTATAGGTAATTCCTTTAAATTTTAGAGTATTTCAGAATATATCAGTTACTTTTTATTGTCCTGAGAATAAACTATAAAATATTTGCTTTTCTCTCACCCACGCTTTTTCTTTGGTGGTACTAGGGTTTTAACTCAGGGCTTCATTTGCTAGACAGGCACTGTACTTCTTAAAGCAGTGTAATCTTGGTTATTAATTTGAATATTACCTTTACTTTTAAGAGGATAAAATAAATTATTTAGTTTTTAGACTGATGTTCTATTTTAAATACTTAATTCACAGTACTGAAAAGAGACCCAGATGCAACTCCAAAGTAATATGACTTTTTTCAGACATACTTCAATATATACAATCAAATATATGGTCACTAGAGGAAGGTAATGCATGTATTCCACATATCTGCCAACTCTTCTTTAAAAGTTTTAGAACTTTTCTTTGGTAATTTGCAAATGTCACCCGAGCTAGATCTTCATTCAATCATTCATTCTTACTTGTTTAATCCCTATTGTGAGTATAACTTGTAGAAAAGAGATTGATGAAGAAATACTGGGTAAAGGGAACATTTGGAAATGATGTGGTACATACAGAAATGATGCTGACTCCGAGTTTGGTTTGGGTGAGGTATTCAAGGAAAGCTACAGAGGAAGTGGCATATAAATTGAGACCTAGAGATTGAGTTTGAGGTATGCAGAAGGGGATGTTGAATGTGAAGAACAAATGTTTTGGGTGAAGTGATAGCATGTGAAGACTTACAAAGGGAAAAACTTTTAAAGTTTGAGAATGCAAAGTAAGTTCATTATCACTGGACCATTAGCCTGTGTCAGAAGAAGGGGTAGAGTTTGGAGCTGGTCAGTTGAATCTTTGGTTAGGGCTTTCCCAGCATAATCTGTAGTTCCAGCATTATTATTAATAAGCTTTCTTTCATTTTCAGCTCCTCCCTTATTTCAGTGATGAATGATATGACCACACTAGTGAGCATATTAGAAGGTATGGACTTAATCATGAGTGCAGTGGAAAGCCATTGAAAGGATAGGACACGATCCTTCCATAAGTAGAATACAGAGCAGTGGTGGAGGGTGGGAGGAAAGGAAGCTGAATGGGGAAGGCCATTGGGAGTCTATGGAAATAATTCTAGAGGACCATGATTGTGGCCTTGAGAAAGGAAGGGGGCATGGCTTGTTCTGAGGGATAACTTCAACATGTAGTGTTGGCAAAACCACCAACTGTGTGAATTTTAAGTAGATTAAGGATTTCAGTGTAAAAAATAAAACCATAAAAATATTAGCAGGGCTGGACTGCACCTCAGTGGAAGAATACTTGCCTAGCATGTGTGACACCTTGGGTTTGATACCTAGCCCACAAAAAGAAAATACATATGTGCACAAAAACAGTTAGATGATCACAGGATAGAGAAGTACTTACAAGTTCCGAGACAGAGAGACATAGACACATAGTCCCACTCCCACATAGACCCATAGAGAAAAGGGTTTTTTTTTTTTTTTTGTTAAAAAAAAATCTATGAATGTTGTTAGAAGGAATACTTTAGATAAATGATTTATGACAATTGTCCTTAGATATGAGGGTCTGTTACTTTCACTTTAATTTTACCCTTTACAAGCTAACTTCATAAAAACAAAAGCTAATTATAACTGTTCTTCTAAATCAAAGAATAGAGAAAAACAGAATCCTCTGTCTTCATTGCTTATTAGAGAAGATGAGTATCTTTTGATATGCTAAGGACCTCTAATTGCTTCTGTGAAATTGTGTATATAAATGTATACCTTTAGAGCTGATTGCTCTTAGTTGGCTGTAATTAACTTCCTGTGTGTCAATCTAAATGTACATTTTTCATATAACAGGTATTGTAGCATTTGCTACTATCAGGTTGATTTTAACATTTTGATATGTTCTGGGCTTTTTTGATCAACATAATTATCTGTTTAATTTATCCTTAGAGGTGGACCTGTCCTTTCTTCTTCTCTATTATTTAAAAAAGCACTATTTTGCACATCTTTTGTACATTATGGACTTTTGTGGAATGTTAGATCAAAGTGTATTTTTATTAAGTCAGTAACTTGTTGGGCATAATTTTCAGCACATAAATTTTTTGTTATTACTAGTTCTTAAGTCGTTCTTTCAGTGTGTAGTGCAGTAGTGCATGAGAGGTCTGTTTCTCTCTGCAGCTGTAATTACTATTCAGTTAATCACATGTGTCTTGTTCAGTTACTGTTCTTTGTAGCTTTACAAGTTTATTGCCACTAGAAAATTAGCTACATGAGGTGGGGGTAGTATGTTCTGGGCATGTAACAAGCTTTCAGTAAGTACTATGTGAACATTGCGTGGTGATCAATGAGATTTTTGTATTTGTATTTTTCTTTTTTGGTGGTACAGGTGTTTTAACTCAGGGCACCATGCTTGCTAGGCAGACACTCTGCCACATGAGACTGTCCACCAGCCCTTTTTGTGCTGGATATTTTTGAGACCAGGGTCTTGCTTTTTGCTCAGGCTGGCCTAGACTGTGATCCTCCTAACTCTGCTTCCTAACATAACTGCCACCATGCCAAGTTATTGGTTGTGATGAGATCTTGTGAATTTTTTTTCCCTGATCTGGCCTCAAACCATGATCCTCCCCATGTCAGCGTCCCAAGTAGTTAGGATTACGGACATGAGCCACTGTACCTGGCTGTATTTTTCTTAGTGAATTGGAGTAGTATATATATATATAAAATAAACCATTAAATTACTCCTTGTTTTTATTTTACTTTTAGTTGTATGTTTCATGCTCATAGAATATGTACTTTTGTTTCCTTTATGACTTCTGTATTGAGTTAGCTTAAAGGACTGACCTCCTGTGCCCATAAAAACTTTATGAAAATCACCTTCCATGTTTTTATTTGGCTTTTTAAAAATTTCATATCCCAAAATTTGAAATCATTTATCTATACAAAAATTTGGTATATGATATAAGGCATGTTTCTAAGTTTGCTTTATTAAAAATAGATAATTTCTTGCTTTAAAATATCTTCATTATGTATCTGAACCTCTTTTTAACCCTTGTTTGATTAATCCAGTTATCTGAAGGTTTTAGTTGTTATAGCTTTATGTATGTTATGAAACCCACTAAGGCTAAATTCGTATCATTGTCTGTAAATGTATTCATCCATAAAAAAATTTCAAATCCTTTTTTCATGTTACCGGAAATCCCACTGGGATTCAGTTGAGTTTTTCAATAAAGGAATATGGCCATTTACTCACTTGTTTAGGTCGAATGTTGTTCTGTATGTAAATATTGACGTTTCCTACCAGATCTGTCCTATGTCTCTGTGTGTATACATATGTATAAATTGATTTTTTCCATGTATAGTATGATTTTTCCGACATTTTAAAATAAATATGTCGTGGTTGTATAGTAAAGGTGTCATCATTGACAAGAGTATTTTCTCTTTTCCTCGTAATATTTGTAGGTTTCTTTCTTTCCTTTAGTGCCTTAATAATTACCTGAAAGAAAAAAAGTTCAAAATATGATGATAAAAGATATCTTTTTGTTTTTCTGTCCT